ATAATATAATATATATATATATATATATATATATATATATATATATATATATATATATATATATATGAGTAAATTATATGTATAATTATAAAGATAAAAAAGATAAACATACGTGTATATATAATTAAAATACACTTAAACATACGCATATATATACACATATACATACATATATTTCTACATATACGCATATATATATATATATATATATATATATATATATATATATATATATATATATATATATAAAACATAGAAATATATACCAATATATCTATATGCATTTATATATAAGAAAATATATATAACTAACAATAGTATATGATGATGATAATAATAACATCAATAATAATAATAATAATAATAATAATAATATTAATAATGCTTGCTAACTAGGAATTATCAAGCATATATACTAAAATATTGTGTCAGCCCAAAATGCAGATTCTGTAATAAATATCCAGAAACGATTGATCATCTTGTATCAGGTTGTACGGTGTTGGCACCCACTGAATATAAAACCCGACATGACAGAGAGGGCCAATATCTGCACTGGAAAATCTGCAACTTCTACAGGAAGGAAACTGAAAGAAACTGGTATGAACACCACCCAGACCCGGTTACGGAGATAGGACCTGTTACAATTCTATGGGATTACACAATGCACACTGACAGAACAATCAAGGCCAACCGGCCAGATATTGTTATTAAAGACCACAAACAAAAACGGTGCCTCCTTATTGATATGGCAGTCCCTGCTGACTGCAATGTATCTTTGAAGATATTCAAAAAACTGTCAAAATACAAGGACCTTGAAATAGAAATCTCGAGAATGTGACATATGAGAACATCAACAATCCCTGTTGTAGTTGGAGCACAAAGACTGGTTGGAAAAAATTGCAGTAGACTAATTGAAGGGATTCCTGGAAGTCCATGCCTAAAGAAGATACAAAAAATTGTTCTGACAAGTACAGTCCACACTTTACGAAGGGCTTTATCTATGTAATTTTTTTTTTTTTTTTTTTTGTCAGTGGAAAGTGTCATGATGCCATTTCTAACCTTAGGTCCCTGGGCGGGACCCGGAAAGAAATGTGTAGACGCCAGAAATCAAAGAAAATAAAATAATATTAATAATAGTAAAAATAAAAACAAAAATAAAACTTAATAAATGAAAAATAAATAAAATACGAATAATAATAAATAAGTATAAATAATGAAAAAAATTACTGGTGAAGATTATAAAAGACATCCTAATTTAGTCATCCGCATGATTGTCATATAATTATATACATGTACAGCCCTATATTTTCACGTGCTACAAGCTCATACACATAATATATATATATATATATATATATATATATATATATATATATATATATATATATATATATATATATATACTTACAAACACATGCACACATATATGTTTGTAAACAATTAAAACCCAATTCACAAGTGCATTACGTGTAAAGTAAATGTTTTATGGTAATTTAAATCTATTTTTATTTGGCGCTTGAAAAAAAAAGAGAGAAAGAGAGGGGGAAGGGGGGAGACGCATCAAAAAATTGTCAGAAATGAACATCTTTCTTACCAATGGAATACGAAGAAAATGGATATTTTTACATGGCGTAGTATTTCTTTTTGTTTCTGTTTTTACTTTTTGATTTTTACGTATTAACACGCTTTTTGAGTCATTTAAAGCCGAAAAATATTTTTGTATTGTAAGAATTTTAGAGATTCTAATATTAAAACATGTTTTGAGAATAACAAATAACTTTTCCAGATACTAGTGTTATATTTAACCCATAGATGGAGGACACGGATTCACAACTTTCTCAAGAATATTTGCGCTTAAGTATAATGTAATAAACCCGACCGCAATTCGAAATCGGCACTCCAATTTCACTTTTCGAGGCTCTACATATTAAGAACACGTCTCTTACGTGAACTCGAAACGTAAAAAGTTGGAACATTATCAAATAAAATAGAGATAGGTTTACGATATATCGTCTTGGTTGTAGAGTGGAAAATATTCCATCTCTCTACAAGACAGAGTAGAGGCTTTTGAACTCTGGCGTCTTCGTCTCAGTTTTGGAAGCAATGATCCATCTTTGTTCTGGTATTTCTCTTGTAAAGGGAGAGAACATGACGTAGGGAGTCGGGCAATTTCTGAGGCGTTATAAGGAGCAGACCGTCCTTAACACTGGATCGTGTATATGAGTCCCATTGAGCTCTACGACAAACGGTGAATATCAACAGACGTTCAAAGGCACTTTGATATCGCAACTATTCGTGGTGACTGGTGAGAATTTCCAACCGTATTTGTTTGAAAGAAACAAAATGGCTTCATTTGTAATTTGAAGTCTAGACGCGGATTTCCCTTCCCACACTGATAACCGCGACGATGTGCGCACTCATTTTCTCGCTCTTTCTCTCCCATTCTCTCTCTCTCTATATATATATATATATATCTATATATATATATATATATATATATATATATATATATATATATATACACACACAATTTAATAAGGAGAGTTAGTGGAAGGAAGTGAGGGAGGTGGTTATATGTGTGTGTTTACTTATATGTATGCGCGCGTGTGTCAGAACGAATGCGTTTGTACTAAGTTGGATTAGATTTCCACGGAATGGGGAAAAATATGAGATAATTTTTAAAACATCTACTTTGATATTTTTTTGCCGATGAACCGACGCATTCTAAATAAAATCCTATTTCAAAAGAAACTTCAAAATTGAAATAAATTTTTTGTCATGACTATCTCGAAGTTTTTCTATATATACATATATATATATATATATATATATATATATATATATATATATATATATATTTTGTGTGTGTGTGTGTGTTTCATATTCTCTAGTATATATAAATAAACATGTATATGAACATAACGCACCCATTTATAATATATATATATATATATATATATATATATATATATATATATATATATATATATATATATAAGCAAATATATGGATATAGATCCGACAGTATGAAGAAAAATATACGGAAAAAACAAACAAAAAATCCTTATATGCAATTGTGCTTTTTTAATGTTAATATAATGACGACAATGTGACCATGTTTAAACGGAACGCTGATCTTATAAAACTTTCAGTTATTTGTTTGGATAAGTCTTGTTCTTATGTACATCATCTTTGTCATGTTGAATTGATAATGTTATATTTTATGAATATGTCCTGAAGATGGTTTATTAGACCGAAACGTCCGACGTTGACGTTATATTAACATTAAAACTGCATAATTGCATATAAGGATTTTTTTGTTTGTTTTTCCGTATATTTTACTTCATATATATATATATATATATATATATATATATATTAATGGCCGTTTCAAATTAAAATTATAATGTTTTTATTTTATGAAAGTATTTATTTATTTATATATATATTTGATATTTCAAATTGTCCTCAATTTTTCATCAGAAATAACTGTTTGTTACAAATAAATTAAAATTCGTATAGGATAGAGGTTCGTATGCTCTCAGACATTCAGGTTTATTACTGTTTTATTATAAAACAGAGCATTTACTTAAATATTTTAATTTATTTGTAACAAACAGTTTTTCTGATGAAAAATTGAGGACAATTTGAAATATCAAATATATATATAAATAAATAAATACTTTCATAAAATAAAACATTATAATTTTAATTTGAAACTTTTTCTATATATATATCTATATATATATGGCTTATATTATATATATATATATATATATATATATATATATATATATATATATGTTCTCGTATATAGTAATATGAATATAAGTATATTTCCTACATATATATATATATATATATATATATATATATATATATATATATATATATTCAGACATTTTATGTTTATACATTTTTTTTATAGATACAAATATTTAAGTAAATGCTCTGTTTTATAATAAACAGTATTAAACCTGAATGTCTGAGAGCATACGAACCTCTATCCTATACGAACCGTCATATCGCCCGACTGTTGTTTTTAACCGATTCGGCCACAGCAAGGCCGAATTTACTCCTTTTAAACTTCAATCATCAATGAATCTTTCACGTTCGTTCGTACGTTCATGCCGTATTCAAATATAAACAAATGACGTCAGCCATTATGAAACGGGCAAAGTCTGACAATTATTTTAAGACTTTTTTTTATGTTTATACATTCTTTTTATAGATACAAATATTTAAGTAAATGCTCTGTTTATAATAAACAGTCTTACACAACGTTTACCGGCCTGAATGTCCGAGAATTTTCCTTAAAAAGGCACGTCAGGCTATATGAAGTTTCGTATAGAATACAGGTTCCAATCCTGTAAGGGGACGAATATTTTCTATGAAAATTTCTCGGATATTCACGCCAGTAAATGTTATGTAATATTGTTTATTATAAAAGAGCATTTATTTAAACATATATATATATATATATATATATATATATATATATATATATATATATATATATATCAGTAGTGAATCTCACTATATAATTTTTATTATAACAGATTATGATAAAACAAATGAAATCGCTAAGCAAGAAATCAAATTAAATCATTTATGTTTCAATACTATGATTGTACTGCCTCTGGCGATGATTGCTCACTCTTCATAAAAATTATTTTTAGGAAAAATAAAAACAAATCGTTACCTGCTTTCCGACAGTTAAAGAGTCTTACTCTCATTTGGACATATACATACATACATAAACACACCCACACGCACACCCACACACACCCACACAGACTCATATTATATATATATATATATATATATATATATATATATAATATTTTTTGTTTAAAAATATGATTCCTTCGCTACATAAGAGTTCTCATGTTTCAAAAACGAGAGCCGAAACCATCCAAATAAGTATTAAAATTAAGTTGAATTGAGGTGTTTAGTCCCGTTTCATCTTCAAACGAAATTAAGTTATTCCTAAAATTTCGCTATGCTGGCGTCCATTCTTCTCTATACACTGAGTCAATGTTTTGGGGTGACCTTGCTGTTCGTGGGAGGCCAGGTTTCTTTTTCTTTACATCACCCGTTTCCCTCAAGTTGTTTACCCATGAAACAATCGACTGCCGGCCAGGAACACGACCACGGGGGGCAATATTTTTATTAGTTCTAGCGTTTTGTTAATTTGTTTATTTATTTGGATTAATTTTATTAGTATTAGTTTCTTTTTTCTTATTGATTTATTTTTATTTTGTATGTTTTTATTTATTCTATTTGATCCAATCACCTGAAAAAGGCCGAAGCATCAAACGACTGGACCGTTGTGAATATGCTAATGAAGATGAAGATAACACTCCGAATAACGTATGTAATGCAACTAATCATAATACCTCATCTCAGAGATGCAATCACCTGAAAAAGGCCGCAGCTTACAACAGCCGATTCGTTGTGAATATGGCAATGAAGATCAGGATAATAGTAGGAATAAGGTAAATAATGCAAGTGATATCACTTTATTTCACCATATGCTTCACTTATATTAACAATCTTCCAAATCTGCAATATTTTGAATGATTCCCGTGCTGAAATATTATCTGATTTCTTTTTAAGAAAAAAAAATGATGTATATATACCAGCATGGTAATATTCAGACGTCAGGTTTTCAAAAGTTTTGATTAAAAAAACTGGAATACTTCCAGCGAGAAAATCAACAGACTGGATGGACATCTGATTGTTTGATTTATCTGACACAAATTCCTGTTGTGACATACATTTTGAAAACTGGTAATTTGGACTCTTTTTATATATATGATGCCAACACATCATTTTGTACATTTCACACGGCAGCAGAAGTTGATTTTTTTTAGCTATTAGATTTGGTTGTGGACTAGGTAATACACTTTATGGCAAATGATCAAATAGTGATGATTTATATCGAGAAGTACATTTCATCTAATAAGTGTTTCATCGCCAGATGGCAAATGCTTTTCACAAACAACAGTATATCATTTAGTGACTCTTCTCTCTCATTCTGTACTTGGGCAAGACAAATTACATGTATCTTATTTTATTTACTTCATATATCATACCAGCCTGTTACATGGAATAATGTCACCATTTTGGGAATGGTTTGGCGTTAATGAAATTACACAATATTAACTAAACTTTCATTTTTTTTTTTTTTTAAATCGGATTGATTGTAAAACCTGACCGAACATTAGATTTTAAGTTCCGCATTATTTGGACTTCGATATTTATGATTCAGATTCAAGAATGTTTCACTTTTGTCTTGTTCTCTCACACACTGTGTGTCTTTACTGCATTGCTTGGGGTGTAATTTTAAAAACAAAAAGCACTAAAGTCTCCAGTTACAAATAACATTTTTTTAAATAATATTTAGAAGAGGATCCAGTTTCCTATATAAATGCACTCTAAACTGACCATCCTACGGAAGACAAAATAAAATATTTTCATAATTGATATTATGGCACCATTTACCAAGGCAGAAAAAGAAAAGAAAGGAAAGAAAGGAAAAGAGAGGCGAAGACCCAAAGAGTGGATGATAAGCAGAACACCCACGGCTAAGAGACAATGGATAAAGGATATTTTGATAAATAACAAATGGCGAAGAGTGTCATTACAATGAAAAAAAATTCTGAGTGGATAAAGGAATCGGGTGTGTTCTGACGACGGGCTGTGTTATTGGGATACATAAACAAATCGCTAATGCGGGAAGGCATCTGATTGGCAAACCACAGACCGACTAGCCAAAGAAAAATCCAAATGAAACTGTTATTTTGATAATGACGAAAAACGGTGGACTACAGGGCTTTGGATAGATATGAAAAATTAATTGTGTCAAAAGCCGCACACAAGGTGGCCGCTGACCGATTTCTTTCGACAGAACATCTTTAGCCTGCGATAATAAAACTATGTTATCAGAAATGTGTACCGAAAAAATGAATGGGAACCTAGAAATGTTTCTTTTCGAGGCGACGGTCTGGCCGTGTTAAAAAGACCACCCATTCTGATAATTAGCGATAAGATGCCTGAGGAAGCCCAGGTGAGAACAAGAGTTATGACCACCATCGGTCGTATTGTTCTGTTTGCGGCTAGAGAAAATGATAACTGCGATTAAAAGAAAGAAAAGGAAAAGAAAAAGATAATTTTTTTTGTTAAGCAAGATATTTTTTTTATCCTGAAACAAAGCCGCGGGATCGTACACGCCGGACTAGACATCATTGGTCGAGTGGTGATCACGTGACGCACGGAGGCGGCTGTCACCGCCCATTTAGAGGATGGGTATGAGAGGTTGCTACGAAGAAGTGGGGAGGGCAGTTCACGCCCCTCTGAAGTATGGTGAGAAGGTGGGAGTAAGAGAAGGTTCCCAAAAATAGAAAAAAAGTGGAAAATTCCTAACCAGAAATAAAAGAGGTGGATATGTATTTAGAATTATCGAGGACCCCCCAGCGCCGACAAACCCACCCCGGTTTTGGTCGGCGTCCATATAAGTGAAGTCGCAGCGAGCAGAAATCAGTTCCAGTTCCAGCAGAGAGTTCGAAGTTCGCAGTGGAAGTTGGTTCCACCTCGCAGATAGCTGACTTGAAAGATTCACGCAAATTCCGGACTCCTCTTCAATCCAAGAACAATTAATTTGAAGAGCGACTTAGATCCAGGCCACCAAAATAAGTTTTTTTTTTTCGACTTTCGCCCGAAGACACACCGAAAACCCAATTTCTTAAAGAGCAAAAACTTGAAGCATTAAAACTCGCCTAACGGAAAACAACGTGTCACAATCCATAGAACGGGTCGGGAAATAGACGCAGTCCTATGTATCCAACAACTAGACATAAAGTTTGTTATCCTTTTTTCTGATACCTTGAATTTTTGAGTTATCATTTTATTTTCTTTTATGCATATTTGTGCGGTGTCACCCCCGTTTGAACCCGATTTGCATTACGGCCCCAACTACTGATTGATCTCGTCTGCCTAAGATCAATTCACAACGTGGGTAGGCAGACTGGATATCAGTGCAGTTACTTTGGTAACCAGGCGTTGTAAGCGAGTTGGGAACGACGAGGCTGATATCGAATCTAACCAGATTCCCATCCGAATCACAAAAAGGTTAGAACGTCACATTTAGGTGCCGCGACCGATACCAAGCCAGTTGGTCGTCACAGGACGAGACAACACGACTGACGCGACAGGCGGACGTCACGTTTGGAGCGGCGACACCCGAACGGAGCAGCGAGGAGCGAGCGAAGGCTGTGTTTAGGGACGTCGCAGCTGACGCCGTGACAAAAGGACGTCACAATATCATAAAATGAGGGGAAATAAAATAACAATTAAGAATCATAATCTGGAGATTTTCTTGATACAATCCTATTGATTAAAACCGCCTGATTTCGATATTATATTGATATATCCAAATTATAAGATTTCAAGCTATTTTGTTTTGCTTAAACTTGGAATATCCATTATCAAAAATTCACGTAGCAAAATATAATCCCATTAACTTTTATAGCATCAATTTACACACACATCCTCATAAAATGAAAAACATGTAAGAGCATAAGCGACCTTAAGTAAACATTTAAAAAAAATCATGCCCTTCATATGAAATATCAGCCCAACCTTCCTTTTGTCTCCTCTTTACCCCATATATATATATATATATATATATATATATATATATATATATATATATATATATATATATATATATATATATATATATAGTCATATTTGGTTGAATAGTCTGGAAATATTATGTCTATTTTTTTATTATTTTATTTTAATCCTCTCGAATTCCCGGACCAACCTCTGAATGTTCATATTAATTTCATTGAGGAAGACGACTTATTGAATTGTTTCATTTATTTTATTTCCCAGATATTTTCAATCTCATCCGTGATCATCTTCAGGGGGAATTGCTAAGACAAAAAAGATTGTAATTGGTAGTTGTGAATTTTATTTTGTAAATTTCCACTGAAGATGATCATGGATGCGATTGAAAGTACTTAGGAAAATAAAAGAAATGAAAAAAATAAAAATAAAAACAACGGCACATACTTTAATGCATTTCTTGTCAACATCAAGGTGGTGATCCGAGTATTCCAGAGAATTAAACTTGCAATAAATAGATATATGTACTGATTATCCAGCCAAATATTCTTGAATAATTATATGCTATCTCGCTCTCTCTCTCTCTCTTTCTCTCTCTCTCTCTATCTATCTATCTATATCTATATATATATAAGTATATATGTGTGTGTGAGAGCGTGTGTGTCTCTGTGTGTGTGCGTGCATACATGAGAGCGTGTGCACGTGTTAAAATGCTCAGAATGTAGAATGTATATGTACGTATATGAGGAATCAATAAAGTAATCAACAGAAAACGGCTGCTGTCTTTAACGACATTTGCCATATATATATATATATATATATATATATATATATATATATATATATCCCAGTCTGTTACCCCTATTTACCCCGTAGCTGGAGGGAAAGAAGAGGATCCATACCTTTCCCAAGAGTATTATCACGTAAGTGAATGTAATGAACCCGACAGGAATTCGAAATAGGCTCTTCGATTCCTCAGTCGAAGCTGTTAGCCATTGGATCGCAACTGGTCTAGGAGAAGGAAAACTCAGAATTCAAAACCGACGAAGAGTCGTTTGGGGACCGTGTATCACGTAGCGCTCCAATTCTCTGTATTCAGCCTTTCAAAAGGACTAGATGATTCTGCACAAAACCTTCGCCATTATAATCATATCTCATTTGCTGGTGTCGGGCTTTCGGTTCATAGGCACAGATCTACTTGACTCTCATGCATTTAAAAATCGACGGAAGTATTGTATATGACATATTTGTTTCTTCATATGAAAATTTTGTTATAGTATCTTTTTTTTTTTTATTAACATATGGAATATATTGAGTTCTTTTATACCCAACGGTGATAATATTACACACACACACACACACACACACACACACAAAACACACACACATATGTCTACATATATATATATATATATATATATATATATATATATATATATATCTTGGTATTTTCCAATTTGTTATACTATATATATATATATATATATATATATATTATTTATTTAAAAATATGATTCCAACACGCTACATAAGAGTTCTCATGTTTCAAAACAAGAGCCGAAAACTTCAATATAATTATTAGAATTAAATTGAATTAAAGTACTAAGCTCTATTCCATCTTCAAGCGAATTTTCTTTTTTTTTGGGAATAAGTTATTTCTGAAATTTACGTGTTTTATAAGCATATTCATTATTAAAATCAAAATTTCTATGGTAACGGCTAGAGCAATTGTTTAAATAAAAGGGGCGTAAGGTGTTAATAATTTGTATCAATATCTCAGTTACATTTACAGACGTCAAGTCAGGGTAAGGTTGGGGTGTCTAATTTTAAAGCGGAAGAAGACATCGCCTAGTCTGGTTAAGCGTCTATGGAAATTTATTTTATTTTTTATTTTTTCTGAAAGGGTTTTGTGCATATAAAAACTGTCGTAAATCGCTAACATTTGTTTTTTGACGCCTTCATAAAGGGTTATCATTTTTGGTAGGGCATTTAAACTATTTATTATGACTATGGATTTTAAAAATTATTTATTTGTTTGTTTGTTTTTATGCTAATTAAATTTTATGAATAGAATAGACAATCGAAATATAGTACTTAAGCCTTGCCGACGCGTTTCGTCATATCACTTTATCAAGGGAATTGATGTAAAACGTATTCATAGAACTTTAGCGCATTGTCCACATGAAAAAAAGACGCACTTAGAAAAAAAGAATTATTTCATGTAACAACACAACTTTTCGCATTTGTTTGTCATCACTTGTCTTGATAAAGTCAATTGACGAAACGAGTCGTCAGGGATTAGTCCTATTTTCCGATTGTCTATTTTATTTAATTTCCTTCTCTAGAGAAGGTATTCTAGGATCATTAAAACATTGTCGATATGTAAAGCCAAAACAACGACTTAGTCAAAAAAGAAAAGAAAAAGTTACTAATGTCCAAACAGAGGCTTACACAGGAGGGTTTTTAAAAAAAAAAATAAATTTCATGTAATAACACATTTCGCTTTTCTTATGAAGTAGAATGAGGAAACATATCAGCAAAGACAAAGAACTATTTTTAGATAGTCTGTTCCACACACATGGACACAGATACACAACACACACACATATATATATATATATATATATATATATATATATATATATATATATATATATATATACCAATAAAAATAATCGACAGAAAAATATTGTCATTAATAACATTTGCCTTATATATATATATATATATATATATATATATATATATATATATATATATATATATAAATCACTTGTGGTTTTTCTGGCGGTTTACCTTGATTCGTTCTTATCCATTGTCTCAGTTGTGGTGGACTGGTCATGTCTTGAGAATGTCTGATGACAGGATACCCAAGATCCTAATGTACAGCCAGTTAGATCAGGGCTACAGGAATGTAGGTCGCCTATGGCTAAGATAAAAAGACAAGCTGAAAAGAACTTGTCAGCAGTTAATATACCACATAACACCCTTGAGTGCTTAGCTTTGGAGCGGGTAGAATGGAGATCTACGTGTTTTAGTGGACTCAACAATTTTCAATCTGCTTGTCTGAATCATCTTCAAGAAGCGAGAGCAAGATCTAAAAGGTCAGCCAATCTAACAGTGATCTCATCTCACAATCCTCACACTTGCTCCGTATGTGGCCTCGTTTGTAAATCACTAGCGGGTCTTAAATGCCACTTAAGATTAGCGCATATACTTTCATAACTGAATCAAAAAGATGGCAGATCCTCATACGTCGAAACCGACGGGAGAGTCCAATATTATATATATATATATATATATATAATGTAAATTTTATTAAAGACAATAGTCGTTTTCTGTCGATTATCTTTATTGATTGACTTTCAAAAAATTAGGAATAATCATTCTCATATAAGTATAAAATTCCCTCGGAAATTGTGCAAAGTTCATTTTGGAAAAAATATACCCTATTTTTTTCGGCTATTTTGGTTCATCATCAGAGAAGGTAGAGGCGAGTAATCTCAGAACAGATGATGCTGTAGGCAAAGTGTATTGTGACGTAGGCCAGATGTGATGTGTGTGCATGAGTCTGTGTGTTTATTTTTTATTTTTAGTTTTTATGCCCACTGTATATAGGCATTATATTGGTCCTACCACAACATGCCTATCTAGATGACTAACGTTACACCTGTTTGATAATTGCTCAATTGGGACTCATTTGCACGAACACGGAAACCTGCCATCCGAAATATACTACTAGAAATACAAGTTTAATAGCCTCATCCACATATCAAAGAAGTGATTAAACATAATGGAAGCACTAATATTTTTTTTAAAAAGCCAACAGCCAATAACATTAAATATGAAGACGGCCACAACGTTCTGACCGTGTATCGAAAATAACGCGTTCCTATAGTTTCATATAATTATTTCTTTACAAATTTTACACATCTCGGGTCAAGAAAAGAAAACATTTTACGAACACAAGAAAAAGTAAATAAAAAACTTAAACGCAATGCCTTAACTGTCGTCTTTAACGCAACGTTTTGAAAAGAGGGGCTGCTGCCTAAATACTCAATTATCACACACACACACACACACACAACTCAATACACACAAACACATATAGAGAGAGCGATAGATAGATATGAACAGAATAAGATAGATAGATAGATAGATAGATAGATAGATAGATAGGAACAGAATGAGTTAGATAGATAGATGTGAACACACACATATTATATATATATATATATATATATATATATATATATATAGATAGATAGATTGATAGATAGATAGATAGATAGATAGATAGATAGATATGGGCAGAATAAGATAGATATATAGATAGATAGATATGAACAGAATAAGTTAGATCGATAGATAGCTAGCTAGCTAGATAGATGCATATGAACAGAATATGATAGATATGAACAAAATAGATAGATATGAACATAATAAGATAGATAGATAGATAGATAGATAGATATGAAACAGAATATGATAGATATGAACAGAATAAAGATAGATAGATAGATAGATAGATAGATAGATAGATATGAACAAAATAGATAGATATGAACATAATAAGATAGATAGATAGATAGATAGATATGAACAAAATAGATAGATATGAACATAGATAGATAGATAGATAGATAGATAGATAGATAGATAGATATGAACAGAATATGATAGATATGAACAGAATAAGATAGATAGATAGATAGATAGATAGATAGATAGATATGAACAAAATAGATAGATATGAACATAATAAGATAGATAGATAGATAGATAGATAGATAGATATTAACAGAATATGATAGATATGAACAGAATAAGATAGATAGATAGATAGATAGATATGGAACAAAAGATAGATATGACATAATAAGATAGATAGATAGATAGATAGATAGATAGATATGAACAGAATAAGATAGATGATAGATAGATAGATAGATAGATAGATAGATATGAACAAAATAGATAGATATGAACATAATAAAAAAAGATAGATAGATAGAGATATACGAACAGAATATGATAGATATGAAACATAATAAGATAGATAGATAGATAGATAGATAGATAGATAGATATGAACAGAATATGATAGATATGAACAGAATAAGATAGATAGATAGATAGATAGATAGATAGATAGTGTGTAAATAGAAATCAACATTTTTCCCGCGACAAGTGATCATCTGTCTCGATAAATAGATAGATACATAATTTCTGAAAAGATTATATATATGCAGTTCATTGGTGTGGTGTTTTAGATCCATACCAATAAACTACCACCCGTGGCCTCTCTTCAACCATTAGTAACGCATGTTTGAAATATTGATGTGATTTCTGACTCGTGAGAAAGACATGAACGGGCGAGTTCGTATATTTCTCAATGATAAATACATTTTCGAGATAACGATCTTGATTCCCGTGGCGACTGACTAAATTTACCTGAGACCAAAGACGGAGGAAGTGTGGGGGCGTTCTTTGGAAGAAATGTTAGGGAGATAGAATTGCTTTATTTTTTTTTCTAGTAATGATGACTTCATTAACTTAAATGTCGAAAACTTATCCTTTAAATCGGCGCAAATTCATTCAAATACTTATAACGTTAACAGTGTTGTACTATTGTAAATAACATTTAAAATATGTGAGAATGTCAATATCGATGCTTTAGTAGTCTTGATATAAATAATACGAACATTTTATTTTACTAATGCTCACACAATAAAAGATCCAAGAATCACTCATGTAGAGTGCTATTGTTAGTTGTTGCATGGCCGTAAGAGGAATAGAATATGTAGGAAAATAACGATTAACCCCTGGATTTGAAGGAGTTAATTTTGCGGTGGTCGGGAAATTATCCTCTCGGACGTCAGTTCCCCAAAGCAAGAATTTCCTAAGAAGAAGTTGTCCGAGCTTTCATTCCTTCTTACTATTGGAAAATAGAGAATTTAGACTTTATGTAATAACAGCAATAACAGTTGACTCGTTATGAACTGGAACACAAAATATTGGCTTACTCTTCTATACAACTATCTCGCGTTTGAGAACAAAACAACGTATAATATGTTGTTTAATTATCGAATATTATTTAAGTAAGAAATACTTTTGACATAGTAATAACAGTGAACGTTGACTATTGATATACGGGATCTCACAATTTTTAGGGTGACAGGTAATTCCTGTTGCAAACACTGCTGCACGTACCCTGTAAATCTAATAAATATATCTTAGCTTATTTTGATGGGAGAGACTGGTTATTAATGTATGTTCATTAGTCGAAATCGGGCAGTACGTCAAATACTCAGTCACAATGACTTTTGACTCGCGGAGGTATGTTCACTCACACCATTTGGTTATAAAAATTGCGCTTGTGTTCACGAAGAGAAACGGTACAAACGTATACAATAACAATAAAAAATATGGTAAATTGTATATTAATTTAATACAATTTTTTTATGTCTTTGTGTGTAATGGTGTGTGTGTTTAAATTTTTCAGGTCATCCCATAAGTTCTGTCCGAATTTTCAATAAAGAAAACAAGTGACCAAATGTTACATTTAATTACAGATTCAATCAACAATGTATTTTCCCTGATTATCTATGACTTCCTTCCATCTATTAAGAAGCTTACTAATTCCATTACTGTAAAATTCTTTAGGCTTTGATTCGAAGAACTCACAAATGTCAGTTTTAACCTCTTCCTGTGTTACAAAAGCTGTTTCTTCCAAATGATTCTGTAAGCTACGAAACAAATAGTAGTCTGAATGAGCAAGATCGGGAGAATAAAGTGGATGAAGAATTATCTCCCAGCCAAGTTCTTCGATCTTTTGTGACGTGATTCTTACTGTGTGGAGTCGGGCATTGTCCTGAGGAAACATCACCTCTTTTCGATTCACTAGAGCAGGTCTTTTTTTCCTCAAAGCTTGGTTCAAACGCTCTAATTGCTGACAGTATATTTGAGCATTAATTGTTGCATTAGGTGGTAAGAATTCAAAATGGATTATTCCTTGGCGATCCCACTAGATCGAAAGAAGAACCTTTTGCCCACGAAGTTCCGTTCTCGGCTGTCGCTGGTGTCCTTCCCCTTTACCAAGTCACTGTCTAAAACGCTTCACATTTCGATAAATGTTCCATTTTTCGTCGCCAGTCACAAGTCTATTCAAAAAAAGGTGAAACAAGTTGGCGAGAATGGGGAGAAGAGCAGATGTCAACTCGGGATTTGAGGTTGTATTCACGCAATTCATGAGGCACGCATTTTCCAAGTTTAGGAACTTTTCCGAGTTGTTGAAGATGACGATGAACAGTTGTATGGTTTGAACTGAGAACCACTGCCAATTCCTCAAATGGCAAAGCAGGATTTCCTTCAAGGGCTGCTTCTAGAAGCTTTTCATCAAACTCAACTTGACGTCCGGTTCGATCTTCATCTTCAAGGGTGAAATCTCCACCTCTGAATTTTACAAACCATCTTCTGCAAGTTCTTTCATTCACACATTCCTCTCCATAAACTGAGTGAATGTTTCTAGCCGCTTCGGCTGCTGAGTTTCCTTTCTTGAACTCATAAAGCATTATGTGCCTCAAATGATTCTTGGATACTTCCATGTTAGCTGGGTTTTAATCAAACAACATTTAATTTTATTGTTCTCTGAAATAAAATTTGATCTGTTTAAATTGCATCTAAACATAAAAATAATGTTCAGCTCCATTAGACATTATAAGATACTCTTTAAATTTCGTTCATTTTAACAAAAAGTTAAAATTCGGATAGAACTTATGGAATGACCTGATACATCCGTGATAATGTTCATATATATAAATCACTCCGAAATAGCACAATTTATGTCCCGGAGGGAACTTACAGACGTGTTGTCATCACGATAGTTTTTGGGCCTAGAGATTGAATCTTGCGTCTCATGGACGGATGTCCGTTTTTTTTATCCGACAGGAACAGTCCTTATTGCATGCTAGGAGTGATTTTATTATTTTTAGTTTTCTATTTATTTATTTAATTTATTTTAAACAAGGTTCAAATTTTATTTAATTTATAAATTTTCATCATTATTATTATTTTATATTTCATTTTTATATATTATAATAACAATGTTCCCACAGACTTCCTGACAGCATAACTATCTATGACTTCAGAAAAAATAGTTTTATTCAATTTAATTTATCGTAGTATGAGTTTCTAGTACGTCTCAATGATGGCGCTTGGCCATTTTTCGTATATATCGGCCATGTTTAAATTCGAATCCGGGTCTCATGATCAAGAGAATATGTGGGTGATGGAATGGATACCGGCTACGAATGAGAAACCGGATAGCCGAGTTGCAGTTCCAGACAGTTTCATTACATCTTAGCTATAGATCAAAAGTTATCTCCCGTTGACGAAACAAAATTAAAATTAAAAATTAATCATAAATATTCACGAGAATAGAAAACATCATATGACTTGACGATGCCCGCACGAGACATCGTTAGGCGAGAAATTCAATCTTTGGCCCCTGGAAGTTAAGGCATGAAGACGTACCATTACAAATAATCCACATATACTCCATTTTCTAAAATACCGTTGGATATATAAATTATTATTTTCACCGTTATGTACGGTAAATCTAAGACTTGAGCTCTCCGTTGATATTCAGGGTGATTGAAAAGTAACTCGCTATTTTATGTATTATTGGTCAGCCATGATCTGAGCGCTGGTCAAAAGTGGTTGTTTCGCTATAATTCGCATTAGTTTATGTTCCTGTCAAGGAAGCAAGTTCTTAAAGCCTTTTCTTTGCTTGGCGTTCTCAGTTCACTTATATTTTCAACAGCTTGATTTATCGTTCGATAATCACTCCGAAACACCTTTGATATCACCAATGTGGACATTTCCTGACAATAACTTTGTTATTTTCTGTTTTTCAGCAGTTTTTAAATTCTTCCTTTTACCTATGTTTCAACAAACATTATAGAAAAAAAATTTAAAAAAATTATCTTTATTAGATTTCAGTGGTCTTAAGCTAATATTAGTTTAATCTGCATAACTTCAGTTAGTTCATTTTTGTGAATTCCTATTATCTCAAAAACTAACCATTAAAATGGCAGAATATTTAATTAAATTTTTAATGAGGGTGGGAATGGACGAGTTTGAATTTAACAAATAGTAGTACAAAACATTCTGTGTTATTGAGGTTTATTTTATTTGCATAATGACCTCAGACACGCTGTACATAGACAGAAAGAAAGTAAGAAGGAAAATAAGAGAGCGATAAAAAATAGAAACAGAATTAGATATATACGTAGATAGTTAGAAAGAGATACGGAAAGATAGATAGATAGACAGAGAGACAGAAAGAAAGAAACATAAGATAGATAAAAAGAAACATAAGATAGAAAGAAACATAATTAGATAGATAGATAGATAGATAAAAAGAAAGAAAGGAAAATAATTATGTAGATAGAGAGATAGAGAGATAGAAAGAAAGAAAAATAATTATATTGATAGATTGATAGAAAAATAATTAGATAGATAGATAGATAGATAGATAGATAGATAGATAGATAGATAGATAGAAAGAAAAATAATGAGATAGATAGATAGATAGATAGATAGATAGATAGATAGATAGATAGATAGAAAGAAAAATAATTATATAGATAGATAGAAAGAAAAAAATATATAGACAGATAGATATATAGAAAAAAGAAAAATAATTATATAGATAGATAGATACAAAGAAAGAAATAGAGAAAAATAATTATATAGATAGATAGATAGATAGAAAGAAAGAAAGAGAGAAAAATAATTTGATAGATAGATAGATAGATAGATAGATAGATAGATAGATAGATAGAAAGAGAGAAAAATAATTAGATAGATAGATAGATAGATAGATAGATAGATAACGAGAGATTTTGCTGAGGCATTATCTCAAGCAAATGTATTTTAAAATCATCTGATATTTGCTCAATTTTTTTCTCAGATTTATTGTATTGGATTTGGTTGTAATTTTTTTTTTTACGAACATCTCGTAGATATATTGATAGAACGATGATTCACTTTCGCATAGACTTATCACTGGGCGGATCTGGATGGATGCCCCAACGACAGTTTCCTGAGCGAAAATCCCTGGGGCCCAATTAAAGATAAAGATCAATGATCGATTTCAATAATGCGAACCCA